ATGGAAGGGTGAAAGAACCCAAGGGTGAGACGACTGAACATGATAGGTGGGACCAAGAAAACAGTATGGTTATGTCTTGGCTCCTCGCAGCCATGGAACCTGATGTGAAAAAGAATTTTATGTGGGCAGACACCGCCAGTGAGATCTAGGAACAGACCAGAATTACCTATTCTGAGCAAAGGCATTATGCCAAGATTTACCAACTACAAGCTGAGTCCTCAACATGTAAATATGGAAACCGTAGTTTGTCCTCGTATTATTCAGCTCTTACCTCCATATGGAAGGAGTTGGACCATTATCAGGCCATAGAGTGGAAGCACGATGATGATGCTAAGGCCTACAGGAAGCTGATGTTTGCTTTCTTGTTAGGGCTGAACCCTATATATGAACCATTAAGGGTGCAGATCCTAGGAAGCAAAGAATTGCCTACAGTACACGGAGTATACTCCCTTGTCCAATCTGAAGAAAGCAGGCGAAGTGTGATGGTTAYAGCTGAGGGGGAGCAACAAGTTGCCTTGGCTGCGGTGAATAACAGCTCAATAGGGAAGAAAAGTGATCCTAAGAAGGCAGCAAAGAATCAAGAATAGGGTAAATGTCACTTGAAAAGAACGAGTGCAGCACATGTGGCAASCCAAGACACTCAGGTTGCCGGTAGTACCCGGGACCCTCCTAATAAGCCTGACCCCAAGGAGGATATAATGAATTCATTCAGAGAGCATMTGGAATCTTATGGTAGGGCATTGCGGCAATTGGACAGCTCAGTCACTGGTACTCCCTCTACCTCTTTTGCATCTACTTCAGGTAATGTGGCCTCTGCATTCCATGTCACTCCCACAGATTCCCCTTGGATTATTGACTCAAGGGCCTCACATCACATGACCGGTAAGCCTAACCTATTCCATTCTTATAGCCTTTTGTTAGGAAGGGATAGAGTGAGACTTGCAGATGGTTCCATTTCTTCCATTCCAGGTCAAGGATCGATATCCCTTCCCCATGGCCTTAACCTGAATTGTGTATGGCATGTCCCACAACTTCCCAAAAAATTGCTTTCAATTAGTAGCATTACAAGTTCTTTAAACTGTAGTGTAACCTTTTTTGCTAACTCATGTGTTTTTCAGGACCTAACTTCTAGGAGGACGATTGGTAGAGGAAGCCTGGTGGACGGTCTCTACATTCTCGACAACAAAGCTGGTCTCTCCGTGTCATCCTCAAAGTCACATAGTCAGTCAAATAAGAGTCAAATTTTGTTGTGGCACAGTCGTTTAGGTCATGTTTCCTTCGAAGTAATAAAATGTTTGTTCCCACTTTTATTTAAGTTGTGTTCAGTGTCAGAGTTCATGTGTCAAATGTGTCAGTTGAGTAAACAATGTAGAACAACCTTTCATTCAAGCAATAAAAGATCAAATGTTTCTTTTCATGTTGTGTATTCTGATGTATGGGGGCCTACAAATGTAATCTTTGAGGGTGGATATAAGTTTTTTATTACATTGATTGATGATTACTCTCGCTATACATGGGTAATCCCTATGCGTAGCAGAGACGAGGTTCCAAAGATAGTGAAAGACTTCCAGAGGATGGTGTTTACACAGTTCCATGTTGAAATATAGATCTTCCAATCCGATAATGTGAATGAATACTTCCATGGGGAGTTAAATGAGTTCTTCGCCTCCCATGGGTCTATTCATAGAAGCTCATGCGCCAGAACACCACAGCAAAATGGGGTTGCAGAAAGAAAAAACAAACACCTCCTTGAGGTAGCCCGCATGATGATATTACACATGAATGTCCCAAAAAGGTTTTGGGGGGATGCTATACTTACAACTGCGTATGTCWTCAACCGCATGCCCTCTAGAGTATTGAATTACATGGCCCCTYRTCAGTTACTGTACCCTCAGTCACCTTTATTTTCCATCCCCATGAGAGTCTTTGGTTGTCGGGCCTTTGTCCATGATTTGTCTCCATCTAGAGGTAAGTTAGACCCTCGGTCCATTCCTTGTGTCTTCCTCGGGTACCCATCCTCTCAAAAGGGGTATCGGTGTTTTGACCCAGTTAGTAGTAAATATTTTGTGTCTATGGATGTGTCCTTCTTTGAGTCCGAGCCGTTCTTCCCTCCTTCTCCTTAGGGGGAGAGTCGTAGTGTGGAAGAGGAGAAGCAGGTTTAGGTGTCTCTTCCTTCTATTCTGGACCTCACTCCCTTCCGTGTCTTCCAACGTACTCGTCGGAGAGATCAGCAGTGTGATAGAAATGTGGAGTAGCCAAACACTGAGCAACTGACATCATCAGAATCCCAGGAGGTAAGTCCAACCCCTAACCCTACTCCCACTGTGGACGACCTAGACATCCCTATTGCTCAACGAAAGGGAGTCAGGTCTTGCACTACCAAACACCCCATTATCCACTTTGTTTCCTATGACCACATCTCTCCCTCGTACCGAGCCGTCCTATCGGCAGTTGACTGCATCCCTGTTCCCAAGAATGTTGCAGAAGCCTTAAAATACCCTGAATGGATAGATGCCATGAAGGAGGTGATTGATGCCCTCCACAAAAATCAGACTTGGGAATTGGTGGATGCTCTAGAGGGGAAAGAACCCGTGGGGTGCAAATGGGTGTTCACAGTTAATCACAAGGCAGATGGAACAGTTGAAAGGTACAAAGCAAGACTAGTAGCCAAAGGGTACACAGGTATATGGAGTTGACTATGATGAGACTTTTGCTAGGGTGGCTAAGATGAACTCGATTAGGGTTCTCCTATCCTTAGCTGCTAACTTTGACTGGGAATTGCATCAACTGGACATAAAGAATGCCTTCCTGAATGGTGACTTAGAAGAAGAGGTATACATGGTTCAACCTCCTAGATTCTCTGCCAAGGGAAGTGAAAACAAGGTGTGCAAGCTACGAAAGTCTC